TCTGAAAAAAACAAAAACAAACAAAAAAACAACAACAAAACAAATGTATTAAAAAGCACATTTTCAGGGGCCCACAGTGTTGGGAAAGTTACTTTTAAAATGTATTCCCCTACAGATTACAGATTACATCCCCCAAAATGTAGTTTGTAACATAATCCATTAAATTACTTAAAGTGAGTAACGTAATCTGAATACTTTGGATTACTTGATATTGTGCTTTGAGCCCAAGTCTCCATGAACAGACTTTTGTTTTACTGTAGAGAAGTAAAGACGAGGATCTGAACATAAGAAGTTTTGTTTTATCTGATAAAAGAAAATAAAAAGCCCAGTCTTTACTTAATCATATTAAAAATATTATTGATAGAGAAATGATTTTTATATGAGATCACTGCTGCCTGAAATTATGTTCACCTACTGTTAGGTGTCCTGGTTTAGACCTGGTTTAGTCCTGGTTTAGTCCTGGTTTAGACTTGGTTTAGACCTGGTTTAGACCTGGTTTAGACCTGGTTTAGTCCTGTTATTAGACCTGGTTTAGTCCTGGTTTAGACCTGGTTCAGTCCTGGTTTAGTCCTGGTTTAGTTGAGGTTTAGACCTGGTTTAGTCCTGGTTTAGACCCTGGTTTAGTCCTGGTTTAGTTGTGGTTTAGTCCTGGTTTAGCTAAGTAGTATTTTAGTAACTGTAATCCAATTACCACTCACTGAAACAGTAACTGTAACTGAATACAGTTACTCATAATTTGTACTTTGATTACATAACTCCGGTACATGTAATCTGTTACTCCCCAACACTGGGGGCCCAGGATGTTATTTTAGCTCAAGAGCAGTTTAATATAGCCTGTCTGGACTCAGCAAAACAAATTGTGCTCAAATACATGGATTAAAAAAAAACAAAAAACACACAAGAATTTAAACCGACATCCAAGTTTGTCTCATTCTCAGTTTATGGACAGTTCTCGTGTAAAAAGCTCAGAACATCCAACCCAAATGACTCCTGCACTTTTACTGTTCAATATGTTTTTTTTTTGTTTTGTGTGTGTGTGTGTGTGTGTGTGGGACGCACTTATGATGCATTACGAGTGCTGTTTGTGTGTGATTCTTTGTGAGGCGGCTCCATCTAGTGTTCAATTTGAGTCATTCCACATGATTGTCATGAACAGATCTGGTTATTCATTATATAAATATGAAAAATGTAATTACATGTCCTATATTATTAAAAAATTGAGCTTTAAATCATGTTATGTTGTTACCCTCTTAAAAACAGACCCTGACTTGTGTTTTGTTTCATTCACGTTTGAGTAACACTTTACTGTCTTCATCTAACCCGATTCATCAGCTGGTTTCACTTCGAAGAAACTGTCTGACCTCGTTCGCTCGACGGTAAGCGGGTACTTTTTTATTTAACCAATTGCTGCTATTTGGTCGTGACGTATGTAATACTAAATACTGCTAACGGGGATAACTGGTATATTAAGTTTTTCCCAAATCCCGTCGGAAGAAGGACAATAACGTCTTTCCCCTTGATAAAATTCACCAATCATGTTGTTCCGGCTTTAAATCCTCGATCTCGGGAAACGTTGCATTGCACCACAAACGGGATTTTGCTTTGATGGAGCTCCACATACAAAATGTACGCTGCAAACTCTGATCATTTCTTAGGCAGCCAAAGGTTACCAATCCTGCCCATCGCCTTCACCTTTCACTATTTTTGTATTCTGTTGGGAAGGGAAACAGTTTGAACAGAGGTTTACAGTCACACACATCTGATTCCCTTTTGCATTTATGGAGTTCGCAAACTTCCGAGGCCCGTTTTCCGCTGTTAGGATCCAACAACCTCACAATTACAATGTCCGAATCCCAAAAGTAAAATATGACAATATCACAACCAGAAACAAAAGCGATATGGTTCAAAAGACTAGAAAAGATCAGCTTTGTCAATAGACACATCCCACTGGGAAATCAAACATGGCAGTTTGATGCTCACTTTTTCTGACGATCCTTCCCAGTATGCATTGCACGATGACCGGGAGTCCAAAATTGGTGATGCATGTATTAAACTATTGTGTAATTTTAGACACGCCCCTTTTTCACAGTGCTGTTGCTTGGTAAAAGTTATGAAATTGGCTTTGTATCTGCTGTCCGTGTTCATAAATATAATTACCAATTTTATTTCCTGGTTGAAGATTTCTAACATTCCATATGCACTTTAATATACTGACTGTACCAACTTCAAAGCTACAAGATAAAAGACAGATTTAAGTTATATTTATAGGTTTGATTTAGTCGGTGATTACCAAAACACCTCCTGCTGCTAGAATAAAAAGTACATGTAAACTATTCTGTAAATCTGTAAATATTGTAATGTGGAATAAAATGTGTAATGTGTGTAGAATTTAGAAAGAAAAAAAAAAGTTTCTCAAACAAAATTATGAAATGTGAGGAAATCTGAGCTGTACTTGTTCATTTTTGACCTTTGACTGAGTTTTACAGAGGAAAATCTAAGAACCAAGTCCCCTGCGTCGCCCAGAGCAGTGGCGCCATCTGCTGGAGAAGAAATACAAGACCCAGACCTCCGGATTCACAACATTCAAACACAGAACAAACAGAATTTCTTTTTTGATGACTGTGACTGGATTTGTGATTTACTGAAATTGCCTTTGATTTCACTTTTGAGTCTCAGTGCCTGATTTGTATTCTTTACTAAGTCCCACTTGTTTTATGGGATAGACTATTTAATAGTTTTGTTTTGCATTTCTGAAAAGTCATAAACCCGTCCTTCCCCGGTCAGCTGACTCGTTGTTATGGTAACCGGTAGCCTGTCTTGTTTACAGGTTTTTCTGTCATTTGTTAAAGGTGTTGTGATATTCAAATAATAGTCTTTTTTTTTTTAGCTGAGGTTTGTACTTTTTTCTCATAAGAGCTCAGTTATTGAATAAATGTCTGTGAGCCCGGGCTTGTTGTCCACAGACGAGCCAAAAGCAGAAAGACATGAGGCCGAAAAGATGTGAACTTTAACCCGAAGCAAAAGAGTGGAGCTACAATCCACAGGTACAAATACACAGGCACAAACACGACCGGAGCTCTGGTCCTGATCTGGTCCTGGTCTGGTCCCGGACCTGGATCAGTCCTTTTTCAGTCCGTATGTGGTGCAAAAGACCGACATCACAACGGTCGTTATCCGTTTTTTCCATTTTTCATTTAAACACAAAAACTGAAAACTGAAAAAACAAATCGTTATCTGTTTTTTCATTTTGGTTTTGGAGACAAATAATGAAAAAAAAACTCTTGTTTTTTTGTTTTCAAATTTTTGGTTTTATATTGAAAAACGAATGATACATGGATTGCCCGCGTAGAGTGAATGGACCAGCGCAGAACTCTGCGCTTCACGGGGCGAACCGCAGCTGACGCCCTGTTCCACGGACTCGGGGTTCTCTCAGGGGCAGTCCTAGATTCTAGTTCTAGTCTAAGTTTGGTCCTGGTTTAGTCCTGGTTTAATCCTGGTTTAATCGTGGTTTAGTCCTGGTTTATAGCTAGTTTAGACCTGGTTCAGTCCTGGTTTAGACCTAGTTTAGGCCTCGGTTCAGTCCTGGTTCAATCCTGGTTCAGCTCGGGTTCATTTCTGGTTTAGTACTGGTTTAGTCCATATACGGCGCAAAAGTTCAGCATATTCAGTTATTTTGGTGAGAGTATTTTGAAAGTGCTACAATAGTAATGTAATGTTTTACATTTTAAATACAGTAATATTGTAATATAACTAATTACTTTGAACTGACAGTAATGAGTAATAAACAACACATAACAGTTTTAAAGTAACTTGCCCAACGGTGAAATTAAGTTTATATACATGTGTACGTACATACACATTATAACATCGATCATAACACCTTCATATGAGGCTTTAATATAGTAAATAAAGTTACAACAAAACAAAATAGACATTTGTAGCTCAGATTTGGTCAGAAAAAAATAAAGAAAGTAAGAAAACCAGCAGAGCCCAGTTTAATATCAGAGTATTTTATTATAAATATACAGTGTGGAGATGGAATGGTACCTGACACGAGCTTGTACAAGAGAAAAGAGCGGTTTGGATCCACCGTCACCAAAACCGACCCCAAAACCTGCGGAACAATGGGTCCTGTTCAAGTCTGTGGCTATAGCAGTTCATGGCCAGGAGAGGGCGCTGTGAGAACATTCAAACAGCCATGACACAAGATTTGAAAAAGCACAAGGATTTTTTTTTTAAAAGGGCCACAATGATGATGTTTGTAGGGTTTAAGTTCTAATGTTTTAAAGGGGCAGTATGTCAAAATATTTTCAGATGCTTTGAGTATTTTTGACACACTTTAACTGGGAAAAAAAAAAAGTTTAATTTTCAACAAAAACTGACTTGAATGGAAAAACATGTCCCAAAATTCATGTTGCATTTATCATAATAATATAATAACTTTATGTTACTTAACTGATAGATGATCGGCCACTTGCTTGTTTCCATGGAGATATTATTACCATTTTTTTTTTTAAAGTTACACAGTATGGCATTAAAGTTATCCATCGTCTCCTCCCACAGGTCAAATGGACTGATTGCTTTTTTTTCTGCAATAAAAACACCTTTAAACTTAATAAAAGCCTCAAGATGGATACGTTTAAAGCCATACTGCGGAACATTCCAGGCAAGGCAATAAAATCTGCATAGAGACAAACAGGAAATTGACATATTAAGAATTGTAAAAAAAAAAAAAAAAAAAAAAAAAAAATTCAAAAATCTAAAATTAATTATGAAAAAAAAAAAAAAAAAAAAAGAAAAGAAAAAATGACAAATTAATGATAAATTAAAGAAAAAAATGTCAAAAAAATTTAAAATGAAAAAATATAGACAATTTTAAATGTCAAAATAAATAAAATATGTCAACATAAAAATAATTATGAATAAAAATGTATTAACACAAAATAAAAAATAAAAATTGTATATGTTAAAAAAAAAAAAAAAAATCAGCATTATGGCCCCTTTTTCATTGTTAAAATCCCAGTTAATTTTCGTATGAATCTGACGTCTTCAACCCAACCCTGCGTCCACTGTTAGTATTAGGTCCAGTTTATACTATTTTACACATTTCTAAAAATCAAAATGGTTCAAGTTGTTGATTTTAGCTTTAGCGTCATTTCAGATTAGCCAACATTACATTTTAGGCACTTTTTAAAATAGTTTACAATTCGTGCCGTGTGCAAAAACACTGGGTATACCAACTGTGTAACATGCATAAGCAACGTAAACCAGAAATTATAAAATCTAACTGAAAACTAGAGCTTAAATAAAACTAAAAAAAGATTAAAAATGCTATCAGTAATAATGATAATCCCTCTAAAAGTAAAAGTCCTCACTCAGCCTTCTCTGGCACATCGTCAACACAAAAACATGCAACTAAATTTTTAAAAACTAAAAAAATATTCTAGTTTTGAGTCCCGGTTTGTTCAAAAAGTCAAATTGGAGATTGGAGAAGTTGTATTCAATTATTGGAGAGAATTGTACTTGAAAATCCACAGTTTTAAAAAGATTTGGAGAAGCAAAATTCGACTACTGAGCATTTTTTTCGATTGATATTTTGAAGCTGCTGACCAACATTCCCTGGGGGTGTGACGCTAACTGTGAGCACTGCTTTGTCTGACGCTTTGTTACACGATGCGATCTTTATTTTAACACAATCTGACCAAAAAGAACCGACTTAGCTGGAAATAACAGGTGATCACTGCTGAAAATGTTGTTTAAATCCATTTTGTACACTTTTTTTTTTTGGCTGTTTGCTCATACTAATGCACCATAGACACACATGTAGAACACCCCCAGCATCATGCCACTGCAAAATATCAACACAAGCTGTACTTTTCAAACCACCCAAAACAATATGAGCCATTTTCAATCTGAACAAACCCATAAAATAATGAGTAATAATAATAAATACAGTTTTGAATACACACAGTTTTCCATTTTACAGCTTTTAACTTTGCGTTGTTGTTGTTGGTGTTTTTCTAGGAAAATAAAACCCCGAAAGTCAAACTATAATTCATGAAACCCACTCGTGTTCCTAAGCCCTCTCTTTCCAATCACTTCCTTTGGTGTTTTTATGGCCTCAACAGCTACAATCTTTTTGCATTTTCAGCCCCGAAAACCCACTTTACACATCCCAAAAAATTGTATATGATCACCAAAAAAATATTCAAAAACTCCCATGATAGCCACCTCTAAAAGGAAATCTTTGCATTACATAAAAAGCCAAAAAAAAAAACAACAAAAAACAAACAAACTAGAAAATACTAAAAATTAAAACAGCACCACTTGATCTCGGTGTTTAAATACGTTTTTTTTTTTAGCCTATGACAAAGACAGAGCTGTGCAAATATAAAGGAGGAGACAGGAGGGGGAGAGATAGTTCAGGGTTTGGAGGCTGCGCTTTGGAAAATGGCACTTGGAAAACTGAAAAGTTGTGTTCAGAGATGTTCAAAAAGGTGCACTACGGAGCTTTTCTACTCATGTCCACGGAGATCTAATTTCTTTGCCTGTTCTACGTCTACAGTCTGGCAATATGGTCTGGTAAAACGTCTGGATAAGAACGCTCAGATCCAGTCAAATGAAGCTCATCGTGGCTCCCAGTTATAGGAGTAAATTAGAAAATTGCTCCAATTTTAGTACGAACGGGAATTTATTTACAAAAAAATAGCGAAATAACAACACCAGGATTATGCAGATCGTGTTAATAGGAACATTTTAAGACCAAAATTGTATTGTTTTTGTGATTTGTTATTATTTTTGTTCATTGATTTTATTATTTTTTATATTGTTTCTATTAGGTTCCTCAAGGTTGAAACATAATTTTTAATTTTTTTGTAAGTACAATGTTTTACAATTCTATGTGAAGCATTTTGGAAACTGTCTTGTTTATAAAATGTTCTATAGAAATAAAGTTGGTTTGGATTGGGAAAATGACCATGTCTCACAGCAGCAGGTACAGACAGAGGGACGACGGTTTTTCAACATAAAGTCAAATGCAGCCAGAGTTGCTGGAGCTGGCTTCCTGTTTGGAACATGGTGATTAGTGGTTTAGCTATGTCCATGTATTAGAGATGAAATGGTACATGTATTCATGCTGAACCTTTTCGTTACGGGACGTTCGGTTCGATGCAGGGCTGTACACGAGTGAGTTCGCGCAATTTGTGTGCGTTTACATTCCACCACTACATGTGCAGCTACACGGAAGCCTCAGCTCTTTAATATTCATGAAGGAACTTGTCCGTGATTGAGGCGGCAGTGTTTCCCGTGGCGCTTTATAGTTAGGACGACCGACTTGACTACGTCCCTCTGAACCACGTAAATCCTCGCAAAACTACGGTCATCGAGCCCTGGTCCTTTCGCCTTTCGCTGGCACGAAGTCTCCGCACCCCCACTGTTCACAAGGAATTTACTTTTTATAATATTTCATACATTTGTTGCTTATTTGAGAATATTTTATTTAACTTATTAGTATTACCAAGCAGCAATTTGCATTTATTATATTTGTATAATGCTAAAACAAATTGTTGGTTTAATAAACACACAAACAAGTAAATGGTTTTGCATTTTGTTCCCGTGCTGTACCGAAAACGAACTTAACCGTGATCTTAAAACCGAGATACATGCCGAACCGTAATTTTTGTGAACCGTGACCCCCCTACCATTTATATTTACAGTCTATGGGTAATATACAAAATGTGTCTTGCCCCAACTCACATACAGTATATAAAGTGTATAAGCAGCTCTTGAGATCAAAATAATTCTGCTGTGTACGTTCTACATCCAATTAGAACGCATTATTTTAGGGTCCAATAATCAGGAAGTGCGCGTTAGCATGCTAGTTGCTTCACAGTCACTGTAAAACTCCGCACTGGCCCCGAGAGCCGTGAAAAGCGTTTACAAAAAGGTATGTGAGGAATAACGTTGGACCTCTGTGAGCCGTTTAAAATTAACTAGTCCTGTTTTTCAATATTCTAAGACGACGCCTTTAAGATACAGGTCAGATCTGCGTAGAGGTGAGCCCAATCGCTGTAAGAACGCATGTTTATCAAGGCCATTTCTTAGCAACAGAAAGATATGAAATCGATTAAAGCTAGATGAACAGATAGACGGATTTAACGCCAAACTGTGGAACATTCCGAGCCGAAAAATTACATCTCCATGGCGACGAACAGGTGAAAGGTTCCTTAGTGCACCATTAATAACATTGGGCCTGGATGTATAAGGTAGAATATTGTTTTTAGCATAGAACTGCTTGATAATGAGAAAAAAACCCAAAAACAAAACCAAAAATTATTGTTATTGTGATTATTTGGGTCAGAGCTGAAATTATAATTACTTGAAACGATTTATTTGCTGTCAAAAGTTTGTAGATTTTCAACAATTTTTTGTAATTTAATATTTGAAATCAAGACATAATTTCTCTTAGAATTACAAGAGAGTACTTAGCCGAAAACAAAAACAACAAGAAAAATAGTCAGGAATTGCTATTAAAAATTACAGATTAACAGATTTGAACGAATGTTTATTGTAAAAAATAAGATAATTGGTACACTGATGCAGATTAAAACTACACAGGCAGAACATGCAAACTCCAGAACAGCTCCAAGTGGTCTGGGAATTAAACCAAGGAGGTTTTTTTTTTGCTTTGAGACAAGTACTAACCACTCTGCCATCAGTGTTTATCAAGATTCGAAAATTATGTAAGGTTTTTCCAAATTTTTAGGACATTTTTAGGACAGCTTTGTGTAAATTCACCTTTAAAATCTGTCTTGAAATAAAAGATTTGGAGTCATATCTTGTTCCAAAATTTAAAAACGACTTTATAATTAATTTTAAAACACCCATTTATAGTTTTTAAAGTCACTGCCTGACCCAAATGCATGCTGGGAAACGAGGAATGAGCCAGAAATGAAAAGAACCTGAGGTAGTCTGAGTGTAGTGCTGACATCTAGTGGCCGCAACGCTGAATGACAGACAAAACAGGGCTGGGCTTTTTCAGAATAAGTGTTATTATAGTTTAAAAGATAATCCATTCTTTATTAATTCGAGAGTTATTTGATTTAACAGCAAAACCAGCTCATTTTGGGTTTTTTTTTTTTTGTGCGTTTCATGATTTTTGTTGTTGAAAAATATCTAGTATTTACAGCAAACACATTTTAACTTTGCTATAATGCACTTGAGAACACATTAAATTTGGAGCCAGTTTTTTTTGTTTTTTTGTTGTTTTTTCATATTTTTTATTAAAAGATAAATTCTCAAAATGTTAAACTCAAATGCAATACCCACCCAGCCCTGTAGGGGGGGTAGAAGAAACAACAGCAGCAGCCGACTCTAAAGTATCTCTCCATTATCATGACTTTTAAGGCACATTTGTATAAGAAAAGAGTTATATATTTTTTCATAATTCGACGAGCAGACTAATATAGGCTTCACGTAACAAGCTATAAGTGAAACCGCCCATTAACATCGATCTAACACTTTTCGAAAATAACTATCCCTACAGGAAGTAGAGAGGTTTATATTGACACTAAAGGACTAACAGTACAAGTTGGACGCCCATATTTGGAACGTCCGGTTTTCTTAATCAATATTTAGGTGTTAATAATAGTGTTATAATAATGATGAAGTTATGGCAGTGTTTTCAAATCTGGAAAACAAAACAAACGAAAAAACATTTTAAAAAGAAGATCCTCTGCGTGCGATTGTCGTTCGAAGTCCGTCGCTTCTGCCGTCCAATCACAGAGCAAGATTTAAACAAAACAGGAAATGACGTCACTTGAAATGCCAGATCTGCGTCGCCCGCCATCTTGTCAGATCTTTATAGAGTCTTTTTTCTTAAAATAACTGTTTTAGTGTCAGCTGTGTTGCGCCAAAACCAAAGTTGGAGCTTGCTTTAAAACTTCCATTTTCTCCTCCGCGATTTTCTCACCTTTCACCTCTTTCCCGTTAAACTCCTCTTTGACAAAAACGACCGCTTCCTGCTCCTCGTCGTCGTCGTCGTCGTCGTCGCGATCGTCCTCCACGATGATCACGTCGTCGTCTTGCTTTTTCATTCCCAGATTTTCCACTTCCAACCTGCGCGAATCCGGATTTAACTTTGGAAACCTCGCTCCGTTCAGATCCTCTTCTAGCTTCACCTGAAACGGCGGAAGTCCCAGTAGAAACGCGCGGATTCGGCTCGGGGAACTCAAATCTGCCGGTTCTTCTTGCACCCTGAGCTCCTGCCCGCCAACCTGCCCCAACCTAGCGCCGAACTCCTCCTGCCGTCTCTGCCTTTTCGCTTCCCCGCCTTGAAGACTCGCCTCGGCTCCGTCCGCATGCATTCGTTTCTGGGGTAACCTTTTACTAAGATTCAGCGGGATGTTTTGCTCCGGTGGGGGGGTTATGGGCGAGCAGGGTACCGGCTTCGAAGCTCCATCGTGGGACAGAGCTTCCGAAAGTCTCCTGGTGAAGGTCTGGAACTGCGTGGAGCCCAACCGCGTCCTCATGAGCTGACGAACCTGCACGCTACAATCCAAATCCAAAGGCAGGACTCTTAGCGGAGGGAGGGGCAGTCTATTCCGATTGTTTGAGTCCTGATTTTGGGATAAACCTTGAGGATTTTCGGCTATTTTGGGCTGGATGGAGTAAACGATCTGGTGTTGCGACGGCTGGAGATGCTGCGAAGCGTCTTGAGGATTCGAAGCGGGATTTTCCAACCCCCTTTGGATTCTATTTCGGAAAACATCCAGGGGACAGAGGCCTTTGATCGGGCTGAAACCGGAGACGAAGTGGTGGGGAAGAGCGGAGAGGAGCAGGCCCTGAGTGGGTACTGCAGTAGTAGTTGTAGTAGTAGTATTATGAGAAGTACTGGAGGTATTGTTGGTAGAAGAGGATTCCGGCCGGTTGGAGTCTTGAGGTTTTGGTTGGAAGGGGAGGAAGGGGGCGGATCGGGGAGACAGATCCGGAGTAAGGGGCATGTTGATGGGGATGAGAGCTGGAGCGATTGGCTGAGGAGTGTGAAGTGGAGGGACCTGGAGAAGAAAACAAACAACTTTTACCTTTCTATTTTACATGAGTAAACAATCAGGTTTGACAACAGAATGTGTTTGTGTCTGTCTTGTTTATTTTTTTCTGAGAATAATTTATATTCTATTATTATTTGTATTCTTTTAATTATTCTCTAGTCCTCGAGTATCTCAGTTCTGATCAGATTTTTTGAGTATCCTGGTTATGTGAGAGTCTATGTCGGGGTGTCCAAACGTTTTTCATCAAGGGCCACATATCTAAAAACAGACGAAGCAGAGGGATGACTGAGGGCTGTAGACTGATGCTCAGTACAGGGAATAATTGAAATATGTGCATGTTTAACACGTTAGAATGAGCCATCAGTCTTTAATCATGCTAAGATCCTTAAAACCACACACTAAATATGAAATATTAGCTTTATCAAGGTAGATTTAAAAAAATATTTTTTTAATTGATTCAAGGTAATTTGGGCCAATTCACTTGGAAGTCTGAGGGCCAAGAAAAACATGTCTGAGGGCTGCATTTGGCCCCCAGGCCATAGTGTGGACATGCCTGGTCTATGTTGACACAGTATCCTGATTTCAGTATCCTGGTTATGAGAAACCCGGATACTCTTACTGGGTTTTTCTCAGAGCATCCAGGATGATTTCTCAAAACTGGAGCTGTACTGAGCATGTGCAGCGAAACAGTAGCAGCAGTTTCTTTACTAAAACGACTCAAACTTCTACCAGGACTTTTTAAGTAATAATATTTTACACTTAAAAACAAAATGAAGCAGTCTACTGTTTAATACAGTCACATTTTGACACCAGGCTCACCTGTGTGTGTTTGTGTTACTCTTGAACTAAACTGTCACTGTCACACTGTCACACTATTTTTCAACTCTTTAAAAACGACTTTTACTGAAGCTGTGACAGAGCTCCAGTCTCATGTTCTTACTTGAATGTATTATTTTCAATTCCTGCCCTAGTACTAGTTAATATTGGGTATCGGCAAATGCTTAAAAGCTAAATTATCGACATTGGTAATGGGACAGAATCAGTGAATCTTGGTCCCAAAAGTGCAGCCCCAAAGTCCAGTTATTCTTAAGAAATTATGATTAAATGTTAAAATATAATCAGGTGACAGACTTTTTTATCTGTTTGTGTAAACTGAATGTGGCAATAATGTTTTTATGTAAAACTAAAGTAATATTTTTTTATTAAACAGAATGTTTATATGTGAAATTAACATGTTTTTGTAATGTAGTTTTAAATGTACTTGTTTTTGTCTTGGTCCCAAATTCAGGTTTAGTCCCAGTTTAGTCCCCATTCTGATGTGGTGCGTGTATAATCCCACTGAAAGCCTTACCCGGTGGAGTGAAGGGTGAGCGGGTGGTCTCCCTCTCCCTGCCCCCTCCCTGCTCTCCCCTGGTCCAGTCCTGATCCCCGGTCCGGTCCTGAATCCCGGCCCAGTCCTGATCTCCCCGGTAACGGCCCTGTGTTTGGCCTGTTGCTGGGCGAGCAGTTTGGCCTGAGCGATGAGCGTGGCTTTGTTCTTTTTTCCCGGAGGACGCCCACGGCCACGTTTCACCACCACCGTCCCATCGGGGTTCACGATCTGAGACAGAACAGCAGATCAGTCAGAATAAAGAAAAATATATAGAGAAAAGTGCTTTACAACTGAGGTCAAACACATATATCAAAAATGGTGAAAATAATCATAATAACAATAATAATAACAACAATAATAACAACAACACCAACAATAATAATATCAATAATAATAAATTGGTGAAAGAAATCAACTTAATCTCATTTCAATGTACCAACTTAGAAATGAGGAAATAATTTATCAGACATTCTTTGTCTTGATGAATACAAACTAATTTTCGTCTGTGAATGCAATAATGAGACGTTCATCTGATAATGAATATTTATAACAAGAAGGAGATGCGAGATGTGTCACACCAGAGAGTTGAGGTAACTGCTTTCAAAACTGTAAAAAGAGGAACAAGCAGGTTTTCAAAATCTGAAGCAGAACTAAGTAACATTTTTATCTTGCCAGCTGTGTCAGAACGACTGACTCCTATACACACAGATTTAGAGGTGTGCAAAAATATCAATATATCGTATCGTTTAATGTGATGATACAGTATTGATATCGTGGGCTGCTGTAAGAGTATTTCTTGGTATATTTTACAAAATTATTTTGTTACATCGCTACAGTTTTGTTGCTTGTTTAGAGGAAAGAAACTCATTTATGCAACACATTTGATACTTTCACTGTTTTGATGATTAAAATGCTCGTGCTTCATATTCATTTTGCACATTAAGTTGTTTAACAAAGACTTTTAGAATCACAGCCATGATTCTGCCATTATTTTTATTGAACCGTATCGAACTGATTTGAAATATATCGTATCGAATCAAAAGTGCGCTGTATCGAGGTATATATCGTATCGGCAACTTCTGAATGATACCCGGCCCTAGACAGAATGCTCCTAGAAGTGTTTTGTATTTATTTATTTAAAACAAGGGCAGTGCACAGAAAATCTTAACCTCCGAGAGAAAAAAATGCTCTATGCCAGATTTACCTACAAGTCACTTTCCATATGCAATTTTTGGGGGAAAAAAATGTATGTGATTGTACAGTCTTTAAAGAAAAAAGCAAAAAACTGTATTCTCAGAAAAGAGCTGCTGGGGGCGCTCTATTGCTAAAGTTGCTTAGTTCTGCTTTAACTTGACTATGACTCTCACAAACCCTGTGTATTCACCTCTATGAGCACATGCACGGCTACAGAACGGACTTCTCAGACAGAAGGTGGACTGCCACTTCACAGTGAACTCGCTCTCATCTCAAAACGGATTTTAGACACATTTTAAGCTTTATTCTGGATTTGTGATCAATAAAATTAGATGCCAGACGGTAGGAATCAGTTTGATTGAGCCATTAAGTGCTGCTTTTATAACACATGTCAGACTCACTGACTAAAATAAAAGTCAAGTACCCAGATTTTAAAATTGTACATCTCTAAATAGAACAAAATGAGAAGCATAAATCAGGCACAAGAGAAAAATAAAGTGTTCTGACCGTCCTGGGCCCAGAGGGGGCGCCGGGCTTCTTGTCCTTGGGCTTGGGTCCTGGTTTTCGTCCTGGTTTCCGGCCTCTCATTCCTTTGGGCCTGACGGGCAGATGGAATTCCGGGATTGGGATGTGGATGCCGCCGGCCCTCAGGTGCTCCTCGTACGGCAGCATCAGGCGCTCGTAATGGCGCCGGGTACAGGTGGCGGCGCTGGTGCTGCCGGGGCAACCGCCCAGCTCGTTATACACGATCTTCCACAGACGGTCATTAGTCACCTACAGAATCATCACAGTCATTCAAGTGCCACACAATTCCAGAAATAAAATACTGTATTTTCGCACTATAGGGTGCACTTAAAAGCCTTTAATTTCATCAAAAAATTACTGTGTGCCTTAAAATCCAGAGCGCCTTATATTTGAATTTATTGGGGTGTTTTAGTACGACTTTAGTAAACTACAAAGCCGCACCACTTGCAGCATTATGGCTGCCGTAGTCAGGAGCATCAGGAGTAATACATACTGTATTTCTTTTTAATATCAAAATGCACCTGTCAAGAGACACGCTTACAACGCCGACTTTAATCTCAAGGCTGTTATAAAGTGAAAGTGCGAGCTGCGTGGGAGCAGTGGGTGAGAGAAGGAGAACACACATTCACCAAGACAGAGAGACAACGCCGAGCGACTTGCGCCACGATCTGCCAACAGATCGTGGACGCCCGGGCTAAGGATCAGTATCAACTGTGGTCCAAGCTTTCACCAAGATCGTAATCATCACTGAACTGCCAGGGAACAGTAACCACACTGACTCGGGTAATGACGAGAGGGATGTGGGTGTGCTGGACACCGTAATCACCCAACTGTTTGAACTATTATGACTTATTGTGAATACGCAAACAATTTAGCGTCTCGGACAGTATTTTTTACATGTTACAATTGAACAAAGTTGAGTTATTGTGAAAGCGTTAAATAAAGTTTGACTGACTTATCTAACTGTTGTGTTTCGTTTAATGCGCCTTATAGTCCCGTGAGGTTTATATGTGAAAAAAGTTCAAAAATAGACCATTCAATGACAGTGCGCCTTATAATCCAGGGCGTCCTATAGTGCGGAAAATACAGTACTCTCCGTGCACAGTACAGACCTTTTCATATCCTCCGAGGCGCTTCACCACTGAGTACATCCGGAACAGGTCGACTGAAAAACAGTAAGTTTGGAATTAAAGACATGTTTTTGCTGAGGCGCAACTTCAGTCTGTTTCAATGTATTTCATAACAATTTTCCATGCAGCGTCAGCAGAAACGGAGCAAAACTGGAGTTCAATTACGGGAATGGGATTTTGGCTAAACCCGGATTGCGGATATACGGTATATTCAATTAAAAGGTACATTTAAGACTGAATGTTATGTCAGGGCAAACTGCGCAGGAATGAAAGATTGTCTGAAGAAGGCCGACTCAGCGGTTTGGGTGAGTCGGGAGAAGTGAAGCTCATTTCTGTTGTTTAGAAATTGTTGATAAAATGTTCTCCTAGAGCCCTGATATGTTCTGGTGTAACAATGATAAGATGAAATGGCTTTTTAATTTTAATATTTACAAGTTGGTATAATTTCTGTGTCAAGTCTGGAAGAAGCTGGAGACATGTTTGTGTAAATGAATCCTTTTGTGTGACACACATCTGACCACTGGTCTATTCTATTTTGTTTGTGGCGTTCCATGAAAGGGCCGGACATGTTTGTATGCGAGCCACAATAATAAAATATATTCAAATTCAATAAAGACCAGCCAAATCAAAAGCTCAATAGATTTCAATTAGGGCATTTTCGGCCTCAAGACACGCAGTTGGAACACACTTTAAAGCAAGAAACCGCGGAGAAAATAATGAAAGCGGACAAAATGTGGAGTGAGTGAAGAGGAGGAGGAGGAGGGACTGACTCTTTTTGAAGCCCAGGTTGGGGACTTTGTGGATGGGAGCGCCCTGTTTGTCCATGAAGGTGAAGAGCTGATCCAGGAAGAACTGTTCATCAGGGTGAGGAAGCCACGGCCCCTCGCAGCCGGACTCCACGCTGCCCATCACGTTCTCCTGAAAACACAAGAGAGAATAATAATATCAATATATCAGGACAGATCTTGGTTTTGTCAATTTAGTTTTCATTTATAAAACTACAAATATTTTTTAAAACTGATCCAGGTGAGTTACACACCTGCATCCGGTCAATCCAGGACTCTGACTGGCTGGAGGTGGGCGAGTCTTTACCGTCACGACCTTTTCTTTTTCGAGGGCGACCTCTGAGGCTCAGAGAAGGGCATCCTGCAGAAAAACAAACAAATCTGACTGTAATTTTAAAAAATGGCAGCGTGTGGAAAAGTTTAAAAATTATTCAGATACAAATTGTGTCAGTATTTCCCACTCGTAATAAGAGAAAACACTGGGCCATTCATGAAGCGTCTTTACAAAACAAATTTGAACTTAAGGGCTTAAGTACAAATAAGAACATTTTTGGCATTCACAAAATGTTTTCTTAACTGAAAATGTTCTTCTGGAATAACAAATCCTACGAACAGTCAGGGGCACTTAACAACAAAAAAATTCTACAGTTTTAGATTATTATTATTTTAATAATGCAACACAAAATTCTAATTCCTCTATGATTGAAGTTGTATATTTTCTTCAAATTATTTCAGAAAAAAAAGTACTACAATGTGATCAAATAACATTTATGAGGCATTTAATAGAAACCAGAACACACTGTAGTGTGTTTGGTAGGAATGTAACAATAACCCAAACATCGTGATTTTTTATTGCATCGTCAAAATTCTCACAATAATATCGTGGAACAATATACCGAATTACAAGTCTCTTTGCTTAAATTAAGAGTTATGGTGCAGCAATAGCTAAAAAAAAAGAGGAACTACATAGACCATGATCCTTTGCTCCATTTCAGTGTAGACGACAAGAAGAAATAACAGTTCTAAGCACTTTTAAGTCTTAGTTTTTTTGGTTTAAGTCTTGTCCAGGCATTTTAAGAGGAAAAAGTAACATGTTAACAGTTTTATTCGCCTCCACAAAATATCGCAATAAAAAACGTACCGTGAGATTGACATCGTGAAAACATTTTACTGAAAGATTTGGATATTGTTACATCTCTAATCGTGAGCTTCCCCACGATATCGCAATAAATATCGTACCGTGAGGTTCATACCGTGATGATATCGTATCATGAGACTTGGATATCTTTACACCCCTAGTGTTTGGACATTTTAAATTGCTGCTGAAACTGTAATACATCCATAGTCTCCACCTTCCTTGACTTAATCATTCACTCACAAAACAAAAATTTCTAAAAAGTCAATTCTGCGCAACGTCTCCTCAAAACGTTATCATCACTGCACTCACTGAATTGCCAGGAGAAGCTGGCGTTGTTCTCCAGTGTGGGATGGTTGAACGTGTCCCTGCAGTACATGACTCGCGTGTTGGACAGCGCCACCTTCAGGCCACCCAGAGCTAGTACATGAGGGTCCTGGAGCTCTGGCCTGGCTGCTCCCCCCTGAGTCCTCCTCTGAAGAGAGCGATATCTGCAGTACTGAGGGTAACTGAGCACCTTCACCCACTGTCTGTCTGAAGCATCACCTGGAAACACACAAAATATATATATATAAGTTTATTTATTATTACACTATTGCTTTAACTGAGGCTTGTTAGACTTTAGTCTGAGCTTTTTTAAAACACAATCTGACCAGAAAGAGCCGACTCTGCTGGAACTACAACAGTTGAGCTGATTCATGCTGTTAAACATCGTCCCTCTCAAATAAAATTACAGTCCCAAACTACCTCCATCATTAGCCAACAGTTTTTCAGTTAGTCACTCTCACCTTTTTACTGAAAATCAAACTCTTAAAAACGACCACAAACGAGCGTATTCATCACAGGCTCCTGAAAATGTGATGTTTAAATAAACTCTTTTTGCCTGTATTTGTACGTTTGTGTGCATTGTGTCACCATGAAAACTGGCTCCTGCGCATTCTGCCAATAGACATACATGTAAAGCACCCCCAGCGTGACTTCACTGGTATCAGTATTTAAAAAAAAAAAAAATAAAAAAATAAAATAAAATATATATATATATATATATATATATATATATATATATATATATATATATCTTAATTTCAGATATAAAGATAATTTGGTTCATAATTAAAAAGAAAAACAAGTCACAAAATAATTATATACTTAAAAAAAGAGCACAATATAACTTTCCTGGTGGTAAATCTGCTCACTGCTCGTCTCCATGCCAACGTGCCATTGCCAGGAATGTTCCACACTATAGTATTAATCGTATAATTTTGCATTTATTCAATTACAGGTGTTTTTTTATTGCAAAAAATAAAAATAAAAACTGCTAATACTTGCTGACTTGGCGGCTTCACGTGCTTGTCTCCACGGAGATATGTTTAATGCCATACTGTGGAACATTTCAGCAAAGCAATAACATCTCCGGCCAGAAAAGTTAAATATTTTGTTAATTTCTTTGCATTTGTATCAGTTTTGATTATTCATTTATATTTACTTCATTTTTGCCCCAATTTTTAAAATTTTAAATTTTTAATTTTTACTTCTATTTTGATGAATGAATGAATTATTTATGGCACAAAACCATTCAGCACTGGAGCTCTATAACATTTTATTTGTAATTTTAATTTTATGGGTTTATTGTGTAAAGTGTGGATAAATGAAATGTGAAAAGTGGGACCAGCCTCTCAAATCAAACAAATTTACCTACAAATAAAGCAACCTGACGTGACCTATTTTTGTGATTACAGTAAATAAGCCACATTTAATTGACAAAAAAATCAATATGTATAGAAAAATAATAGACCTATTAAACAAAATCTTAAGTAAATTCCTTTTGCCCAGAGTAAAGCTGCACCGTTTCCCCCCAGCAGAGGGCACACTCTCGGACACAGAACCGCAGTGATTCACCTCTGAAGGACACATTAGATCAGGTTTAATATTAAAAGTATTAGTACACGAGCAAGGACAATGCTCCACTCTGAAGAGCTCATTCACATTTAAACTGCAAATATACTGCATTTAATCAGCGTGTAGTAAGAATGTAGAGTTTTTAACGCAAAATTATAAAATATGAACATATAAAATTATTGTTATGGCTAAAGTGGCTTTAAGGAATAAAAACGAATGATAAAATTATAATACTGCTGATGTTAAATAGTTACAATGAAGAATGCAAATAAGTATATTGCAAAGAATACAGGAAAGGCAAGCTCATTTGTATAGCACAATTCGTACACAAAGTAATTCAAAGTGCTTTACAGAATAAGAAATACATAAATAATAAATAATAAAAATAATATATATGTTAAAAGATACAGAAAATTGACTCTTGTGAGCTTCAAGTCGTGTTATAATGTTGTTACCTCATCAAAAACAGACTTGGAGTTGTGTTTTGTTTCATTCACACATGTCTGAGTAACTTTATTATTCTGTCTACATCTCCAAGTCTCAAGATGCTCTGTTCCACTTTATGATGTCATGTAGTGGTAGTTGAAACAATGATGAATGAAACAAAACACACTGTGATGGACATCTCTGTAATATGGAAACTTTAAAGCTCCCATTTTAAAATAAGAATAACTTCAACATTTTTTAATAAAAAAAATAAAGGAAATAATATTTAAACATTTAAGTTTATCAAGATGTCCATTAAGTTAGTATTATTAGTATTAGTATTTGTAGTAGTATGATGTAATAGTAGTTTTAGATGTAGTAGCAGTAGCAGAAGCAGAAGTAGTAGTGGTATTAGTAGTAGTAGTCGTATGATGTAGTATTAGTATTAGCATTAGTATTGGTAGTATTAGTAGTACTAGTAGTAGTCGTAGTAGTAGTATGATGTCGTAGCAGTATGGTGTAGTATCAGTATGATGTAGAATTAGTAGTATTAGTAGTAGTCGTATTAGTAGTACTATTAGTAGTACTATTAGTATTAGTAGTAGTAATAGTACTATTAGTAGTAGTAGTAGTATGATGTATTAGTACTATTAGTAGTACTATTAGTAGTATTATTAGTATTAGTAGTATTAGTATTATTAGTAGTATTTTATATAAATCTGGCTCTTTACCTTCATCCTTCTCATTCTTTAGCTCCGCCTCTTCTTTCTTTAGCTCCGCCTCTTGTGTCTTAAGCTCCGCCTCCTCCTGGACCTTCACCTCCACCTTCTCCTCTTTCACCTCCTGCTCTTGGGTCTGGTCTTGGGTCTGGTCTTGGGTCTGGTCTTGGGTCTGGTCTTGGGTCTGGTCTTGGGTCTGGTCTTGGGTCTGGTCTTGGGTCTGGTCTTGGGTCTGGTCTTGGGTCTGGTCTTGGGTCTGGCCATCGGTTGGGTTTTGGATCTGGTCTTGGGTCTGGGCCTTGGTTGGGTTCTGGGTGAGATCTTTGTTCGGGTCTTGGGTCTGGGGCTCTTTGCAGACTCCGTTGATCCCGTTCGGAGTTTGTGCTCTCGGGACCTTCCACCCGTTCTCCTCCAAACACGACCATCTCACCAGGTCCTCGACTTTCACCACCATCTTCCTGGAAACCGCCAAAACTTCATCCTGTATGAAAAGAAAAGAAAAAAGAAAAGAAAATGTGTAACTTGAATTCTTTATCGACAAACGTAGGCGAAACACACGCACCTCTCCATGATCCCGGGTTCGACCTTTGGGTGTATCCTCTGGCAGGAAATACAGTCTGGCACTGGCCAATAGGTGGCGCTGCGTCTGGTCCTCCCATAGCAAGGTCACCTGAAGGAAGAGAAAAAAAATTGTATATAGCTTTGAGAATTTGAAAATAAAGAAAGCTGAACTATTGGGGATGGGACAATTTTTCACGAGACACATCACGAGATCGGGTCCATGACAACGAGAAGACGAGATTTTGACAATTTGTAATAAATAATTTAGATAATTTGACCAGAACTGAAGAAGAAGCTTGGATGAACTGTGAAATATATTCAAAAAAAAAAAAAAAAAAAAAAAAAAAAAAAAAAAAAAAAAAAAAATCAAACAAAAAACCTTTGTCCAGTTGATAAATTTAATTTCTCCTTTGCCAGGGATTCTACCTAACCTGATTCATCAGCCGGTTTCACTTCGTGGAAACCGTCTGACCTCGCAGCATTAGGATTCATTCACTCAACGGTAGGTGGGTAACTTTTTTTATTTAACCAATCGCTGCTATTTGGTCGTGACGTATGTAATGCACCAAATCCCGTAGGAAGAAGGGCAATAACGTCTTTCCCCTTGATAAAATTCTCCAAACATTCTCTATGTTCCAGCTTTAAATCTTCGATCTCGGGAATTGTTGCCAACACAGAATGTCTGTCTTCGTCTACATCCATCTTGACCGCTTAGTTTACTGTTGTGCTGTACCACAAAAGAGACCCAGACAGATGCTTGAGTTTGACATCATGGCTTCACAGCTCTTCATTGATTGGCCGATGTGCGGTCTACAACTTCTGGTGTTCTTGCAAACCGTCTAGTGTACTCCGATTCCTGACCAAGTCGCTGGAGAGAAATTAATTTGAGCGGAGGCACTGGCTAATAAACAACATCATACTGCAATCCATTTCACAATTTTGGTATCCACTGTTCTATTTATTTTATGTAATGCTTTAAGCGGTCATTTTATACTGCTTTTTTGAACTACAGCTTCTTAAATTGTACCAGCTTTTAACTCTTTTTCTGTCCAAGCCAAAGGTAAATTCAGGAAGAAAAAAATCTCATGAGAATTTTTCCTGTGTGTGCATGATCTTGTAGCAATTTTATCCAGTGAGATCTTGTTCCATCCCTATGAATAATCAAAAGTGGGCTGGTTAAAATATTTATACCTGATGAAATAACATTAAAATGATCATGCAGAGGCTCCACAACCTGCTGGTCTCTATAGAAATGTTTATCGCTTACTGTTTGCACATTTATTATTAATTAATTTATTAAGGAATAGGGATGTAACAATAACTGAAATATTGTGATATCTTATCCTCAAAAGTCAATAATACTGTGGGCTGTCACAATATACTGAATTACAAGTCCCTTTGTTAAACAACAGGAACTACATATCCCATGATTCATTCAGTGCAGACAACATGAAGAAATGTGTTTTTGACTTGAATTCTTGGGATTCTCCAAAGTATCGCAATAAATATCATACCGTGAAATGCATATCGTGATAATATCGAGATTTGGATATCGTTACATCCCTAATAAGGAATTTATCTTAATTGGTGAAATAAAAACACCAGGATCATGTAGAGCGGGTTAATACGAGCATTTTAACTTTAATTTTTTACGAGCAAGTGAACATCTTGCGTTTCGGGATAATTTCACAGTGACGCCATCTTATTGGTTTCTTGTCTAGGATCTTAATTAGGGCCAGATATCATCAAGAAGTCGCAGATACGATACATACCTCGATACATAGGGCACGATATGATACATACCTCGATACAAAGGGCACGATACGATACATACCTCGATACATAGGCCACGATACGATACCTATCTTTATACAGTGAGCTTTCGATTCAATACGATATACCTCATATCGATTTGATACGGTTAAATAAAAAATAAAGGCTAAATCATGGCTGTGATATTAAGTCTTTGTTAAGCCACTTCTGCAAAATGAATATGAAACACATTTAAAATCATCAAAACAGTGAAAATGTCAAATGTGTTGCATAAACAAGTTTCCTTCCTCTGAACAAGCAGCAAAACTGTAGCACTGTAACAAAATAATTTAGTAAAATATACCAAAAAAATACTCTTAGCGATATATCGATACAGCAGTCCACGATATCGATACTGTATCATCACATTAAACAATATGATATATTGTTATTTTGATATTTTACCTGCCTGTTTACTCAGATGTGATATGTACCTTGTAACAAAAAGGGTAATAGATCAGATAATTTACACAATAATTATGATTAGACTTAACAAAATTAAATTACAGCTTGAACGTTTAAACTGAAAAAACGTGTTCCTTGTGTGTAAATCCTCTCTGCATTTTGGACAGGAATGTTTTTGACCAAGTTAGAGAGATTCCTTTGTGGAACTCAGCGTTACTTCCTGTAAATTTCCAACTTCACAACAACTAACATTTACCGCAGGAACTTTGTCAACAAATTAATAATTAGAGAAAATAAATACAATTTTGACGCATGACCTTTAACCCATCAATCAACCTCTGACACCACCAGGCCACGTTACTTTTTGAAGTATTTTTTACAGGTATTTTTGCCTGGTAGTACTCGATTTGAAGCTGCAGTGTGTTTATGTGCAGGAATTTTATTGATTAAGGCATGCGTTGAATGATTTAGTGTTAAAAATTATACTAAATCAGAGTGAAAAATTATACTAAAACCATGTGGGACACGAGAATTACTAAGGATTCAAAATGTAACCATAGTAATCACAAACCTACTGTATCAATTCTACCAGGCTAAAATGGAAAAGTAACCAGTTAGGGACTCTGTATTAACTTTAAAAATCACTAAAAACATAATTCTTTGGTGTAGTTCGTTTATCAAAGCGGGCAAAGGTTAAGCATGTAAACCATATCACATTTCTCATTATGGCATTCAGTCAAACTAAGCTACGTAGATTAACAACGCTGATGTAGTTAAATACAGAGTTTCAGCTTTAATCAGCCTAGTGAGCTCTGTTACTCAAGTTACAGGTGAGCTGATTTTCTTAAATAAGTTCCCCCACACAAAATTACAGTCACAAGCTCGAGAGCATTGGCCAACAGTTTTTCATTTAGTCACTGTCATCTTTTTGTTCAAAATCAAACTCCTAAACAGGACCGTGAAACCTCAGACTGATCACAAGCTCCTGAAAATGTGTTGTTTTGTATTTTGTTCTTAAGATTTCAGACATTTTTTTTTTTAAACAGTGTTTGCCATTTTGTGCACAGTCATTGTAATTAATAAACATCATAAGCATAGAGCACTGCAGAGTATCAATAGTCCAAAAGCGATATTATTAGGGCTGGGCAAAAATAATTTTAATTTTAATAACAATAATCGCGATTAATCGCATGAGTTCGAGTGATTAATCGCGATTAATCGCATGTTATACGCAAAACCAATTAATGAATTAAAAAGTAGAGTATAGCGCTCTTTTATTGGAAATGTAAATGAAAGAGCCACACATTTGTTGTGCAAACAGCATTTCTTTCACAGGGGAACCTCAGAGCCTTCAAGGTATTCAGGGAAGGCTCAAGAAAAAATATTGAATGGACGTTTGTACTACTAATATATTTATTGAATATTTTTTATGCTGTGAGTAAGAACACTACACTAGTAATAATTTCTACATCAGTGTTATAAACTTGGACTGATATTTCTTGGGAAACAAAGGGTTAATATAATGGAATGGAAATGGATCAATCACATCTTTTCTTCCAAAGGTATCTGGGTAAATCAATTACTCCAGCACTGAACTAAAGAAATAAGCTCAGCTCAGAGCGCACGACTGGTCCGGCCTGAGCCGGTGCCCACGGCTAAACCCACGGCTGAGTCTGCGGCTGGAGCCGGAGCCCACGACCAGAGCCCGCGGCCGGAGCCGGAGCTGGAACCCGCGGCCGAACCCGCGGCCGGGCCCGCGGCTCGCGGAGGCTCGGACACGTTGCATCTCACGTGGTCAGAAAAAAAGTGAAAAAAGTGTAAAGAAAAGACGTCAAACTTAAAGAAACGCTCGCGGTGGACATTTTCAAAATAAAAGCCAGTGAGAAACAGACGTTTACAATAAAATAAATAAATAAATAATAAAAACTGCGTTAACGGCGTTAAAATAATTGTCAGCGTTAATTACTTAATTAGTTAACGCAAAGTTAACGTGTTAACGTGCCCGGCCCTAGATATTATAATTACTTACTATGGCAATTACTATGATAATTATAGCTATGGTTAAACTGATTACTCGTGTCATTCCTTTTATAGTCTCCATTTAAAATAATTTAGAAAATCTGTATAATTTAATGTCTCTTATACCACGGCCAGTGAAAATTCCAACGTCTAACTGTCGTGCTTTAATACCATAAAACTATCATCAAATCTGGAAGATGAACCAAAGATGAGGTCGTATTATTTTCAATGGCCTGAGCTCCCTGGCGCATTTTCCACGTTACTTCCTGAACAGCCCTACGCCGCAAAATATGGCGACAGAAATGTGCAGTTCTGATCAATCAGAGAACTAGCTGCTAGAGTCAAAGCTCATAAAAGTCAGCTTTTATGAGCTTTGACAATTTTAATTTTTTAAAAAGTTTTTAAATCCAAGTCAGTTCTCCCGACTTCCGCTGTAAATGTGTTCCATTACAACAGTCAGGAAAATATGGATGCCCGAGAAAGTTTCATGTTTATTTTGTTTGCTTTTGTAGTTAACTTCAAGTATTGCTAGTTTCTACTAATAAATAGTCTGTTGGTAATTATAGCAGTTTGACAATTACATGTTCAGAAATCCATCCAAGTCGATCTGCTCCAAACAAGCCAGAGTTTGTGTTTCGGAACCCCGATTTGACTGGCCGTTCCATTCTCGAGGTGAAGGTCGGTTTTCCCTAGCCAGGCTGGCGCCACCTAGTGCCTCTGCTCAATTTCATTTCTCTCCAGTGACTAGGTCAGGAATCAAAATACACTAGACGGTTCGCAAAAACTCTGGAAGTGCAAGTTCGGGCCCCGTGAGCGGCGCATTACATACGTTATGACCAAGCAGTGATTGGTTAAATGATAAAAAGTACCAGCCTACCGTCGAGTGAACAAATTCTAATGCTGCGAGGTCAAACGGTTTCTACGAAGTGGAACGAAGTAAAATGAAGTAAAACAAAGTAAAACCGGCTGATGAATCAGGCAAGGTTTTCCCCAAGTCCCGAGCACAACAGAAAACAGAATTACAGACGGGGAACAGGCTTTTCACATTCACAGGTGACACATTTCAGTTTGTAGCTGTGGTGTAAGTGCATTAAACAACTTGAAGCTGTGCGTTCTGCAGTTTTAACACACTGCTTCTCGAAGTTTAATGCTTTTCCATATCACTGTTCTGCTGAAAGAACTGATACTGGAGACGTTTACAGACAGTGGACAAGCTTTTCAGATTCACTGGTGAGACATTTCAGTTTGTAGTCGTGGTGTAAATGCGTTAAACCGCTCGTGACATTGTGTTCTGCAGTTGTTACGCACTCGGCGGAGGAACATCACTCCTCTGCGCATCGTCTATGACTCCATGTCGTGCGTTAAACCTGCAGAACGCACGGCTCCTCATCGGTTAATGATTACTTAACTAAAAACCGTTACGTGTCCGTGTTATGGATAGATCCTGAGTCAATATCAAACTCATTCTCTTTCGACCTAAAAGCAGAAAAATCAGCTCTGGAGCCACTCAATAATAAAAGAGTAGCATCCATACAACTGACCTACTTACACACATTACACAGGGAGGAAGAGATTCATATTGATCCAAATGTGTTTTGTTTTAGCTTTTAGTTAATTCTTTGTCAAATAATAAATCCAGTTAGTGTTGTCCTGATACAAAAATTTTGATACTAAAGAATATGCTCGATACCAATCTTGAACCCCAAATGATCATTTTAGAAAGCTGTTTTTTTATTTTAATACTAAATAATAGTTTTTGCGTATTATACCATGTGGACTTTCACTGCTTCTGATAAAACTCAAGATAAAACTGTTCAAGAAAGGTCCAATTTGATCCAGTTTGTGATTTTTTTTCCTTCCTGATTTTCTACTTTACCTTTCACAACTCCTAATGTCAGACTTATTTTAACTTATTCATTTAATTTGAAGGGCTAAATATGAGCAATTGACATTTAAGAGATATCCCCTCATCAGTGATCCACTCTTTGTCTAGAATGTTCCACAGAACAGCATTAAAGAGCCTGAATCCAATTTTCTTCCATGTATCTTGAGCCAAAGTTGTCTTATATATTGTATAAGCAGATCTTGTGGTTAAAATGAGTCCACTGTGTACTGTCTGCATCAAATTATAAAGCGTTTTACAGTGTGATGATCAGGAGGAGTGCGATTAGCATGCTAGCTGTTATTAGCTTCGGTCTCTTGCGAAAAGCCCATAAACATATCGCAAAGAATAACTTTGTACTTGATTTGTGGTTGTCTTAAAAGTCTGCAAGTAAGAGACCAGCATAAGAACACATGTTTTTCGGGGAATTTTCTTTGTAGGTGTTTGTAAAAATATAAAAATTTCAATATATAGTATAATTTAATGTGATGATACAGTATCGATATCATGGGCTGCTGTATCAAAATTGTATAAAAAATAAGTTATATTTAGGATTAAAAATGTATTGGTAAAATGATAAATAGCTACAATTTTAACCAATGTAAGTTAATGTGTAAAAGGTATATTATAAATAAATATTATAAATATATATAAATAGTAAATATTATAATTGAAGTATATTAATTAAAATTCAAATCGATTATATTACTAATGAAATTGTAAAATGTAAATTTTAATTCATTACGCATATTTGTTTACTTTAAAGGTTTTCGACCTGCTGCTGCTACTAAAGGAACTGAACAATTTCAGTAAAAATCTTCAAGCCGAGTTGAGCCTTGTGTCCGTTTTTTCAAGTTGGACCTGCGTTCCTTAATTAAAGACTTGACAATATCACCAAGAGTATTTTTTGGTAAATAAAATTATTTTGTTACAGAGCTAAAATTTTGTTGCTTGATCAGAGGAAGGAAACTTGTTTATGCAAAACATTTGACATTTTCACAGTTTTGAGGATTAAAATAGGCGTGTTTTATATTCACTTTGCACAAGAAGTGGTTTAATAAAGACTTTTAGTACAGCAGTAATTTAGCCTTTATGTTTTATTGAACCGTGTTGAGTCAATTTGAAATATATCATATCGAATCGTATTGAATGGAAAGTAGGAGTGTGCAAAAATATTGAAATATTGTTATATCGCATCATTTAATGTGATGATACAGTATCGATATCGTGGGCTGCTGTATCGATATATCACCAAGAATATTTTTTGATATATTTTGTTACAGCACTACAGTTTTGTTGCTTCTTCAGAGGAAGGAAACTCATTTATGCAACACTGTTTTAAATTATTAAAATGGGCGTGTTTTAAAATAACTTTGCACAAGAAGTGGTTTAATAAAGACTTTTAGTATCACAGCCATGATTTAGCCTTTATGTTTTATTGAACCATATCGAATCAATTTGAAATATATCGTATCGAATAGTATTGAATGGAAAGGAGGAGTGTGCAAAAATATAGAAATATTGATATATCGTATCATTTAATCTGGTGATACAGAATCAAAGTCGTGGGTTGCTGTATATGTGCGTGCGTATATATATATATATATATATATATATATATATATATATATATATATATACACATATACATACATATATATATATATATATATATATATATATACATATATATATATATATTATACATACATATACACACACACATATATCTAGTGTTGAGAAAGTTACTTTTAAAATGTATTCCCCTACAGATTACAGATTACATCCCCCAAAATGTAGTTTGTAACATAATCCATTAAATTACTTAAAGTGAGTAACGAAATCAGAATACTTTGGATGATTTGATATTGTCATGCTTTTAAAAACGACATGAATGTAGCAACCACATCCTGAAAATTCTTGTTTGTTCTCTTCAAATTGTCCGTTGAGCTCAAGTCTCCATGAACAGACTTTTGTTTTACTGTAGAGAAGCAAAGACGAGGATCTGAACATAAGAAGTTTTGTTTTATCTGATAAAAGAAAATAAAAAGCCCAGTCTTTACTTAATCATATTAAAAATATTATTGATAGAGAAATGATTTTTATATGAGATCACTGCTGCCTGAAATTATGTTCACCTACTGTTAGGTGTCCTGGTTTAGACCTGGTTTAGACCTGGTTTAGACCTGGTTTAGACCTGGTTTAGTCCTGGTTTAGTCCTGGTTTAGTCCTGGTTTAGTCCTGGTTTAGTCCTGCTTTTAGTCCTGGTTTAGTCCTGCTTTTAGTCCTGGTTTAGTCCTGGTTTAATCAAATCGTATTGAATGGAAAGCTCATTGTATGGAGATATGTATTGTTTCGGCAACTTCTTAATGATACCCCGCCCTATTTCCTTGCAAGAAAAAAATGAACAAACAGGTGGTAAAGTTACACAATGCAATCTGATCTACGTTATAATGTTTCCTCATCACAAACACACACACTTTCAATAAAATTTGGATAATTTCAGCCCTGCAATTTCAAAAGTAAAAATGTGGCTTTAAACTTGATAACTACCACTACATGACATCACAAGGTGCATTTTGAGCTTTGCAGATATAGACAGACTAATAATAAAGGATTACTCAAACATGTGTGAATGAAACAAAACACAACTCCAGGTTTGTTTTTGACGAGGTAACAACATTATAACAAGACTCTACTTTGTGGAACATGGGAGGTTTAAAGGTAAAACAGTCGACTCTGACCTCAGCGAGACACACTGGCTCCTCTGGTCCACAGCGGATGAAGTAGAACTCTCCCAGTCTCCAGGTCTGGACCGGTCCATCAGGTCGAGTCCTGCTGCCCACAGACTTATAGAAGGAAAAGGTCCCTCTCTGACACGAAGGAGCACCCAGCCACTGAGGAGAGGAGGAGAAGAGAGGAGAGAGGAGAGAGGAGAGGGTTAACCAGGGTAAATCAACAACCACAGACTGAAGAAGAAGTGGACAAAGTGAGTGCAACCTCACCCAGAGTGTTCAGCTTCAGTCAAACGAGGTTCACCGAGGCTAGCAATTATAGGAGCGAATTATGGAGTTCCATATTAGGAATAGGCATTTATTTACAGAGAAAATAGTGAAACAAATACATCAGGATCATGTAGAGCGGGTTAATACAAATATTCTATGACCAAAATAACGAAGCCCACAGCAGCAGTAACAGAAAGAGGAGCGACAATTATTCAATGTACCGTATTTTTCGGACTATAAACAAACGGATGACACTTGAGACTGATCCTTAGCCCAGGCATCCACGATCCATTGGCAGATCATGATGTAATTCGCCCGCCGTTGCCTCCCTGTTTTGGTGAATCCGGATTATGAATGTGGATAGAGAATTTAAGTTTGTTTTTTTATTTCCTACGAAGAAGACTCAATTATACATTGAGTAATAATGAGTTTATTGCAGCTTTGCGCAAATTTGTTTATGTTTTACAGAAACAAAACTTAAAACCATTTTTGTGTAAATGATAAGCGCTGAAAAACAGTTAATTCCTTGTGCTCTGATGTGGTCAGCTTCTGTCGGACTAAAGGACACGACTTAGTGGAATATTTGTGAAAATCGGTTCGAGGTCAGTAAACACAACCAGAATTAATACATACGGCGCACCGGATTATAAGGCGCAATGTCGATTTTAAGTGTGCCTACAATAGTTACAGGAGCACATTTTGGAGCCAAGTTCCACATTAGGAACAGGAATGTATTTACGTAGAAAATAGTAAAACAAAAACACCAGGCTCATGTAGAGCGGGTTAATACAAATATTCTGAGACCAAAATAACGAGGCTCACTGTGGCAGTAACAGAGACAGGAGTGAAAATTTTTCAATGTAAAGTCAATTGGAGCCAGAGTCAATGGAGCCAGAAGCATAACCATGCGCACTTTCTGTTTGGATTTATATATACAGTTTATGGTACACACACAAATACGGTAGTCCTTTTATTTTAAAAGTGAAAAAATGCATAGCACACTCAGATGGCCGATGTCCAAAAGCTTTTTTATTTAGTAAATAACGTTTCGGCAAAAAAAAGCCTTAGTCAGATATTTTTCTTGCTTTTTTTCTTGGTCCAAAGCAAGAAAAATATCTGATGACTAAGGCTTTTTTTTTTTTTTTTGCCGAAACATTATTGAAAAATAAAATAGCCTTTGGACATCGGCCATCTGAGTGTGCTATGCATTTTTTCACTTTTATTTTGCCGTTCCTTGCATTTGCACCTCTACTAGAACTTTGTTGTACACTTTCCGTGTCATTTTGTTGATGCGTTTTATTTTTACCATTTCTCACAATGGACATCGCTAACACCAGTCGCCACGCTTCAAACAGGAAGTGAGCATGGGCATGAAGTGGCTCCATTTCACTTTCTATTGAAAAATCTTCACCTCCCCTCTCTGTAACTGCTGCTGTCAGGCTTATCATTTTGGTTTAATGAAGAAACATACTAAGATGGCTTAAAGAGAGTCAATTTTGCGTAATATAGGACCTTTAAATTAGCCAAAAATAAATAAATCAGTGTGGGTTTTGTCTTTTTTTTCGACCTCAACATATTTACATCCTATAATTGTGACCAGGAGACATCAGGAGCTACAGTGTCCAAAATATTTCCCTTGTGGATCAATAAAATTTGTCTAAGTCTAAGTAAATAGAACTTATTCATAATATTACAATTCTAATCCAACCACAATTACTTTTGCAGTGGCATTTGTGACGCAACATTTCCATGCTGGTCGTTTCCACAGACTCTACACTAAACTAGTAATGAGTAATAATGATGAGTACAAGACTGAGATGAGACAAGATACAAGGTTTGGGTCCACGAGAACACGACGAGACAAGATTTTAACATTATTCATAACATATAAATTTCATGATTCAGTTTCCATTTTTGGTCTCATGATTTTTTTATTAACTAGATTTAATAATTTTGTTTTAATTTCCATGCTTTTTGGAATGGTAAGAGCTGTAATTCACCAAAATGTTATTTTTGCCCAATCCAAATGTAATCGCTTGGAATTTTTCTAATTTTTTCTCATGTGTGCACAATCTTGAGGCAACTTTGTCTCGCGAGATTTTGCAGCACGAGATCTTGTACCATTCTTAGTACTGAGTAACTTTGGGACTCTTAGTCTGGTTTGAAGCTCAGGTTAGTTAATAAAACAGCCACTGCTTTTGCTTCGGCATCAAATGTTAAATATTAACTCTGGACTCATACTGTAATACCTCTATTCTAAGTGACAAAAGGCTGAGTAAGGTTTTTATGTTTAGTCAATTGCGCAATATACATTTTATTTCTAACCATATTATTCATACATCATAATAATGGAATCAGAACTCTTCAACTTTAACAGCCACTTCAAATCAATAACATCTGCAGCTTTTTACCATCTAAAAAACAGCAAAAATCAAAAGTTATACTGTCTAAAGCAGACTTGGAGAGACTTATCCATGCGTTTGTCTCCATTTGGTTAGACGGTCTGCTCACTACAGGGACATCCAAAACACTGCAGCTCGAACCAAGAAGTACGAGCACATAAGTCCTGTGCACTGGCTCCTGTGGGGAACCAGCTGGAAAATCTCACTGGCTGGAAAGTCCCCCTGAAGTGTACCCTTTGCGAAACTAAATTAGTTAATCTATATACATATAAAAAAAAAACAACAAAACAAAAAACAGTATTGTCATTATATATAAAATTGTACACACGCAAGTTACAGTATATCTCAACACATTTGTTCATACATACAAAAAAAAAAAACATGCAAAAATGATGTAGTCTCAACGGTTCTGCAACTATTTCAGGATTTTATCTTACATATTTCAATAAAATGCATAGTTAAGACTTTCCTAAAAGTGATTCTAAATTATTTAAGAACAAAATCTGTAGCTTTCTAAGTTTCTTGTGTTGCACTGCTTACAAATTATGTTCATGGCAGGTAAAGAAATAATATTTCTTCTCAAATCAAGAGTTAGATGCTTATAGGACACGGGGAACAAGAAAAAAATATTTAAAATACAATTTCATAGTAAACGTCTGTGAGCAAATGAGGATTATATTGATATTACATATGAGCTGGGACTTTTAAGCCAGGGGGACGTTCGAGCCAGTATTCCTCCTGTGGCTCAGAGAACAGACTTTAAAGCAGCTCTGCTTGTGTACAAGTCTCTCCCTGGCAGAGCACCAAAGTACATCTGTGACATGTTAGTGTCATATGAACCATTTCGCACTCTGAGGACGTCAGGGCCCGACCTCCTGCTGGTGCCCAGAGTCACGACTAAACACGGGGAGTCAGCGTTTCAGATTCATGCAGCTAAAACCTCGAACAGTCTTCCTGAAGATGTTTAAATCCAGGCTCATAACCGTTCTGTTTAGCTGCGTATGACTGAAAGGTTTTTATTCTGCACTCTTCTCTCTCAGTTAATGTCTCTCACTTTTTAATTTTTTTTTTATGATGATCATGTTTTGATTTGTTTGTCTTGTAAATTTATTTCTTATTCTGTAAAGCACTTTGAATTACTTTGTGTACGAATTGTGCTATACAAATAAACATGCCTTAACTTGCCTTTCTTACTAAAAGGGCTTGGTGAGATATCAAAATAATTAATCTTATTCAAAACAAATGTACTTTTTTCATGACAACTTTAAATTTTTAACAAGTTTAACAAGTGTATTCCTCCAAAGTCTGAACTCTGCTCCTCGAAACTCCTCCATTAAAAAAGACCAAACTGACCATCTTAAGAAATTAAAACAAACGCTTTTCTCCATGGAGATGTTATTGCTTTTTCTGGAAGGTTCCACAGTATGGCATTAAACCTTTCTATCGTCATGGAGACCAAACCAGACCAAGCCAAAGGGTCAGATCTGTGGAGAGGCGATGCTGCTCACAGTCAGAATGCCTGTATTTCTAGGTGTTTTGGAGCTATAAAACCACCTGTAATTGGAAAAAAAAAAAGAAAAAAAAAAAAGAGTAAAGTAGAGCTGTTTAAAGTCATACTGTGGAACATTCCAGGCAGAGCACAGAGTAGCTGCGGGGTTTTAAAAGTCTTTAAAAGGTCTTAAATTTCATGTTCCTAAATTAAGGCCTTAAAAAGTCTTAAATTATGTTGTCCAAGTCTTATTTTTTTCACAAAGGTCTTAAATTTCATTAGCCTTTTTTTTAATAAACTCAGCCAGGCAGCAGTCCAATGTTAAACGGCGATAAGAAAAAAAACAACAAGGTGAAATAACGTAACGTAAATGGACGTCTAATTTGGAGTATGCGCAAACAATACTTGTCTTGTCAGAATGTTATTTTTTGGACATTTTACAAGCAATGCATACGACTATAAATGAGCTCAGAATGAGATTTTATTAACTTTTTTTACTTATTTAAAGCAGTGAGAAATGGTCATTATTATTAGAATTGGATCTGGTGTTTTTCACTCGCATAATGGGTGCAACGTTGGTCTTAATTTTCATTTAAGTGGTCTTAAAAAGGTCTTTAAAAAGTCTTAAATTTGGAGTAGTCAAACCTGGGAATACCCTGGCAAAGACATCTCCATAGAAACAAGCAGGTGATGGACCCTCCCAACCAAAAAGTTACACAGACTTACTAAAAGCACCACCTTATTTTCCTTATTGATAGGAAAACTTCAAACACATGAAAAAAAAAAAGAAAAAAAAAAAAAAAAAAAACTGGCACAAATTTCAGAGTAATTATTACCCACCATAAACCAGGTCAAAACATCTGCATTTCCACAGTTAAAAGACAAATTCCACAAATGAAATCTGATCTGAGCCCCACCCCAGCGCGCTCCAATAACAATATTATGGCTTCAAATGTAGCCTATTCATTACGTTGCGCCAATAAAACGTCTGTTCTTCATTT